AACCAGGTAACCTGGTAGTTCAGGTAGGGACTCATTGCAGTGAGGACCTCAGCTCTGATGAAAGCTAGCAGGTATCCCCCAGGAACAGAAGGGTATTCCTGCCCTGGGGAACGTGCTCCATCCTGCAGGAAGTGAACCTTTTCCATTTGCAACCAGCAGAGGGCAGTGCTCTCAGCCCTGGTCCTGGGAGTCCATTGTTTCTCCACTGACTGTTGTCCTAGCTAGGCCCTTAACTATCGGTGCTCATTGTTGCCAGCGATCCATCTGCTGGCTGGCTTAGAGTTTCTCCTGCTTTAGAGTTTGTTTTTTCCTGTTTCAAGGATACCCAGCTCAGAGGATTCCCACAACTCCAGCGCACAGGTTTTTCTGCCACTTATCTTCAACTTGCTAAATAAGAATCTGCCTGATTTCTGGGCAAACGGGTCTGTAGGTGATCAGTTCATGATGATCAGACACAGGTAAAGGTGTGTTTGTCCTTCTCCACAAGTCCAGTTGGTTACATTTCAGCTCACACCTGCAGGAGGGCTGTCCCTAAACCCTCCTGTTGGCACAGGGTTCGTCCAAATCAATTTGTCTGTTTTAATAGCCGAGAGCACATATCAAAAAAGGATTCAGTAGACAACAGACACAGGGCTTTGCCAGCTCCAGAATTAAGAACCTGTGTACTGGTCCTTTCTCAAACTAAGGACTGAGTGTAGTTGAAATAGAAACAAGCAAGCGGATTAATTAGTCAGCAATTGGACCTGGTGATTAAGGGCCCAGCCATCAGCTGGACGCAAGTTCTGGCGCAGGGAGTTAATGACATTCAAGTATAAATGCTATTCAGCACATGTGTATTATCAGGCTTCTTTGCAATCATCTGTGTTGGACCTCGCTGTGTTCGTGTCTCCTCAGTTTTGTGTTTGGTGTTGTGTGGCAGGGCTCTTTATGGATGTGTCAATTCTAGGGACAGCGGAGCAGGTGCTGACCAGCTCTGGACCCTGAGTTCAGAGTCTGATTCTGGCTTTTATTCCATCTCAGACATTATGTCTTAATTGAGCTCAGTGGCAGGCCAGGCAGTGTTTTCCAGGTCTTGATCAAGTGCTGATTGAAAGGTTTCTGTAAAACCTCCAGGCCCGTAGAACTCTGATTGTGGACCCAGCACTCACCCCTGTGTGAAGGTGAGAGTGGGAACTGTTGATTCATTTTGTTAATCCTAAAATTAAAGATGCTGTTAATACCCCTAATCCAGGGGTCCCCAGTCCA